GGGTGAAGGACAGTGTGGGCTTTGTCTGCCCAGCGGCCAGTGTGAGGACTCACATGGCAGACCTCAGGCAGCCAGGGCCACTGCTGAAATCAGGGACAACTAGAAGAAGTGGCTCACAGAGGCTAAGTTATTTTCTTATATTTACATAAATAAACAAAACTGAAGAAGAAAGCGATCAACTCAGGGAAGGCAAAGCAATAGAAAAACTAAGATGGTCCATTTTAACCAGGGGTAAGACTGTAATCCCAGCAAGCAGGAGGATCGCAAGTTTGAGGTCAGCCTGGGCAATGCCATGAGATCCTATGTGACAGTTAATCTTCATTGTTAACCTGACCAGTTCTAGAATCACCTAGAAGGCATACCTCTGGGTGCATCCATGAGGCCTTTTCTAGGAAAAGTTAACCAGGGAGGAAAGCCTCACCCTGAATATGGGTGCCACCAACACAGGGTCCATAGTTAACAGAGGAAAGAGAGAGGCTGGATGGGTGTCAGCTTCCCCCTCTCTTTGCTTCCTGGGATGCTAAGACGTGCAGAGTCCTAGCGACACACTCCAGCCACTGAGAGCTCTGCTGGGTGTGCCCCACCAGGAAGGACTGGCCCTTCAAACCAGGATCCGAAACAAGTCCTTCTACCCTCAAGCTGTTCCTAAAGACAGAAAAATAGTAAGACCAAAGGTGCACTTCTGTCAAATGCTTTAGACATAGCATAGTAAACCATATTTTTAAGTGACCTAGTATTTCTTAAACAGTTCAGATATTGCATGCCCACTGTGCTGACACCTAAGACAGAAGAATGCAGATAAATTGAAGCTGAAGGTCAGAAGAGAATTTGTTTTGGTAAACTAGAAGTAGGAAACGTAAGCAGCCTGAGAAAGTATAATATCAAAAAAAAAAAAAAAAGAAAAGAAAAGAAAAGCACATCTTTTACTCAATATTTAGAAACCAGCAGCTTTCCTAACGGGAAACAAGACAAGGATGTTCCTTCCCACCACATCTCTTCAACTTCACACTGGGAATTCTCCTAGCTATATCAATAAGAAAAATAAAGGAGAGGTATACAGATTAGGAATATATCACTTTGTTTACAGGTGGCCTGAGTGCTGATGTAGAAAACCCCAAATAATCAACAAGGAAACTCCTAGAGTCAAGAAATCCCTGTGCCAAGGTTGTACCAGAAGGCTATACACAAACTTGGAGAAAATATTTGCACACACTACACCGAGTACAAGACTGTGGTCCAGAGGACAGGAAAAACTACTAGGACCACATTAGGAAAACAAGCCAGCGTTCTTCACAGGCATCCTACTAAAGAGGACATGCAGGTGGAGAGTGAGCCAGGGGAAATGGAAGTTAAAACAGGAAGTCACCACACACCTGTCAGCACAGCGAGACTCGGAAACCAACGACACCAAATGCCACCCACAAAGCAGAACAGGGACGCTCATCCACAGCTGACAGCAATGGGAAGCAGCGTGGGAAACCCACAAGTCGACTCGACAGCTTCTGGCAAAACTAATTATACTTTTATTATAAATGAAACACTCACGCTCCCGTACGGGCAGGAGCAAACATTGGATGTATGTTTAAAATAGCTTTCATTCATAATTCTTAAAACCCAGGAGCATTTTGGGTGCCCTTTAGTAGGCAAGTAAGTGGATAAGGTGTCCATCACATGTCCAAACATCTATCAGTGGGGTGTGGTCTCAAGAGGCAGAAGGCGAGTGGATCTCTGTGAGTTTGAGGCCAGCCAGGTCTACATAGTGAGTTCCAGTCCAGCCAGAATTACACGAGCCATCTCCGCAGTCCTCTGACACTGCTTATATGTCTGAGATATAACACACACCCCGTAAGACGCACCGTTTGAAATGACCCACTAAATGGCTCCTGCAGCAGTTGCTCCACATTCTCTCTCTCAGCCTCTGACAGCCATGAACACAGTTTCTGTCTTGGGTTTTCACGCTGGACCTTTCACATATGGAATAATGCAGTGGACAGCACGTTTGTTGTGTAGCATGTTTGCAGGGTTTATCCATGTTGCCGTATGTATCACAATTGTGTTCTTCTTGATGGCTGAGTATTATTCCATTGTCCACACATACTACACTTTGTTAAGCTGCTGGGCTGCATGGGCTCCGTAGCTGTCAAGAGTAATGCTGCTTCTAATAGTCATGTACACTTTTTTATAGATGGACACTTTCTAAGAGCCTACATTTGATATTCATTTCTAGCAAGTTTTGTTTTTTTTTTTAGACCTAATTTTTATTTACCTGTAGGTATGTTTGTGTATATGCCACAAGCATGCAGTACCAGAAGTGGGCAGCAGAGGGCTTTGGCTTCCTTACAGCTGGAGTAAGAAGCAGGTGAACCTTGTGAGCTGCTTGATGTGGATGCCAGGATCCAAACGAGAGACTCTGGAAGCCAGGGCAAGCTCTCGAGCTTCCCTTTCCACAAGCTTCCCCTTAGCTCTTGAGAAATATCACCCACCCTTTATTTTCCCAGTTTGATCACTGTCTTGCTAGAGGACATTTCGATCGCCACTTTAGGTTCAAAGTCAAATTGAGAGGACAGCAGAGGGATTTGTGAGCACCCCGAGCTTCCTGTGGTAAGCAGCACCCCGTGCTGCGTGGCACCCTGGTGAACAGCACCCCGCGCTGCGGCACCCCAGTGAGCAGGACAAGACTGAGGACCTAAGTTTGAATCCCTGGCATCTGCTTTCATGCTTTCTCTCTTTTTAGTTTTTTTATGTTTCTATGTGTGTTGTCAGTGTCCTGTCCCTTTAAGAAACAAGCCACGCCCACTCCCTCCCCTGTCCACCTAGGCAAGCTGATCTTCAGCTTCCAGCCTGAGTCCTTTCCTTTTCTGTCTTCCTTTAGAAGAGGCAGCTTCTGTCTCTTCCCACGTCTCCCCTTCCCTTCTGTTTTTCTCCTCTTTCTCTCTCTGCCTCTCTACTCTTCTCTCCTCTCTCTTCCCTTTCATAACCCACTAAATAAATATCCAACCTCACTCTGCACAGCATACCCTCTGCAGAACACATATGTCTCTGTCTCTCGCCCACCACATGGCTCCCTGCCCGGGACCAGCCGCCTTAGACCTTCAGCGTGGTCTCATGGTGTGCCTGTCTGTTTCTCCTTGTGAGACTGGCTGCCCCATTGAGGTCTCTCATCCACCATGCGGCTCCCTGACAGGGACTCATGGCCTGCTGCAGCCACTAAGGGAACTGTGTCATCCCTGTCTGGGACTGGCTGCTCTCAGGACCGCTGCCCACACTGATGCTTGGGGACCTGCAACGTTTCTGCCGCTGCAGCCACTTGGGGATCTGCAGCATTTTTATTTAATCCATTACAGTCTGTATGTCTAAGCACCACATGCATGCCTGGGGCCCATAGAGGCGAGAAGAAGGTGTCAGATCCTCTGGAACTGGAGTTACAGACAGTTGTGAGGAACCATTTAGGCCTAGCACCCATGTTTAAAAAGCCAGGACAGCATGGTAAAGGGGGAAGAGGGGGATTGCTGGGGCTTGCTGGCCGCCAAAGGCCAAACTCTAGGCTCTGTGAGAGATCAGTGTCACAGGAGCATGGCAGAGAATGACAGGACACCTGACACCCCATTTGCCACACATGTGCACAGGCACACGCACCACTCCACACACACACATACACACGCGCACACACGCACGCACATACACAATGTGCCTGAAGTCAGGAGAGGTGGCAGAGTCTGTGTGGCTGTGTTGCGCGCAGAAGACCCTGAGTTCCACCCCAGCACTGGACACACAGGTCACCTCAGCATTTATGTGTTGGCAGGATTAGGAATTCAAGGTCATCCTCAGCCACAACGAGAGTGTGAGGCCAGCTCGCATTTACATGAGACCCTAACTTAAAAAAAGAAAAAGCAGAAATTAAAGAAAGGCAAAATCTATAGTCATGACTGGAGTTTTCCCTCACTGGTACTAAATAAAATTATTAATGACAGATTTCAACAGCCTGTTAAAAACTTGTGTTTACATTCAAGTAGAAAACCATCTGGCAGCTACTGAAAGGAAAAAAAGCCGCCCCTGAGGGCTGAGGTGTGGCTCAGCAACAGTCCCATGCTCCACAGTCTTCCATGCCAGAGGCCTGACTTTCAGCCCCAGCACCACAAAGAAATGAAGCTTCGGGGGCTGAAACCTCAGACACACACACACACACACACACACACACACACACACACACACACACCAGGAAACAGGTCTTGAGTCACGTGACAGTGTCTCTGTCATCATTACACAACCCAGTCCTGACAGAAGAGGAAGTTGAGAAGCACAGAGCAGGCTAGTCTGCTGCAAAGTCACAGCTTGCCCCGTCCTTCCCTCGCCAGGCCGTTGACCCTTCCTGAAGGTGAGATCTGACCAAGCTTTATTCCTATACAGTCTGTGGTGATGGGACAACAGGTGAGAGACAAAAGGCGACTTAAACACAAGCAGGCGCCTACTACGAACCCAGACAGCAAGAATTTAACCAAGAAACCATGACAGGCTATTGAGTTCCTGCTGCAGTTGCAACTTGGTGTTGCAAACACCAATCGTTTTCGCAACCATCTTCCAGGCAGAACACTCCTCCCCTTTCGAATGATGGGGCAGAGACCAGAAGGCTGGAAGGATGAGTGGACTTGATTTTGAATGCTCCTACCTGCATGGCAGTGTCCAGGACCCTTGCCTCAGATAGAAATAGAACCTTAAGATCTCGGTGCACTGGGCTGTAGAGGTGGCTCAGCAGTTAAGAGCATGGACCGTTCTTGCAGAGGACCTGAGTTTAATTCCCCACACTTACATGCACAGATGTGATTAAAAATAAAATATTTTTTTTAAAAAAATCTTCACTCAGGAGGCAGAGGCAGGCGGATCTCTGTGAGTTTGAGACCAGCCTGGTCTACAAGAGCTAGTCCACCATGACTCTCCCCATATTCCCCAAACAGCAGGAAGGCAGAAGTTCTAGAGAGAAAGTGGAAGGACCACACCAAGCCTCCATGAGCCGAGCCGAGCTGCTCAGTCGTTCACCACACAGTTTTATTCCCCATCATTGTACTGAAGGGTTCTATGCCCAGATGACAAGCACAGGCTTCCCTTGATCAAATTCAGGGACATTGCCCACAGTGGGTCAAAAGACAGTGAAAAATTCCACTCTAAGCACAGCTACCCCAGGATATGGCTGAGGACTCTTCCATCTTGGACACAGGAAAAGCAGAGGTAGGATGTGTCTTACCCAGCAGGTCTCCTGCACTGTACCACTTCAGTCCACCACACGGCTCTAAAAGGAGTCAGTGGACACACTGAGAAGGCAGAACACTCAGCCATGGCCACATCGCCCTACAGACGGTAGATGTGCAAGAAGAATCCAGGTTACTAGCTACACCAGAGCTCCCTGTGATGGCGTATCACCAAGGGATAGTTTGGGGCCAGGGGGTGAGGGGAGCACTTTGTGCCCTGAGGGAAGAATATCAGCAGGATAAGCTGGAAATGACCAGGACCATCCAGTAAGTGGAGGGTGGACAAATGCAGCGATGCAGCTCAGGACCAGGACTCTGGTCCATCACGACCCAGGTCTTATCATTCAACCACGTTTGCAGAACCATTTGCCACAACTGGTGGAGAGGACAAGGCAACTGATCCATGGGACTTTTCAGCAGTATTTTTAAGCAAGTCCAGGTCATTCACAGAAGGAAGATAGGTACAGTGTTGGACCCTGAGGAGTTTACAGTCTCGACAGAAAAAGAAGTATGTACAGGAAAAAGTGGAATAACACAAACATCAACACTAGGAATTTCCATGAGACAGAAAGCAGCCGAAGGGACACGAAGGAGCAAATGCCCCTGCCAGTCCGGGGAACAGTTCCAACTTAGGATGGTGATTTGTGGGGAACTCGGAGCTGGACCTCCACACCAAATGAGTGTGGACATGGGGTTGTGGGCAGTCTTCAAACTCTTGGGGAGTCTCTGAGCTTCCTACTCAAACCCCACGTGTCTGACCATACTTCACTCCAGAACAGTGGAGTGTGAGGAAGCATTGCCGCTCCGCAGGACAGAAGCATGACACAAGCCAGCACGTCGCCCACGAAATCAGTCTGAGCCGCACCAACAGGGTCTTCTTTTCCAAGTGCCCTGCTGGTGACCACCAGCCCTGGTCTCCTCACCCCACCAGCTCAGTCACCAGATTCAGCAAGGCCAGGACAGCATGTGATGCCGACAGGACATCCCCCAAATGCTGATCTCATCTGAGCTCAGGGTCAGCCACGCCAGGCTCCTGACTCCTCCCCCACTTCTCAGTCTTGGAGGAAGATGAACTTCTTTGTCCCTAGGTCACCTGGCCAGGAATGGGCAGCATCCTGTGCCCAGAATGTGTGCTTCTATGAGCTGACAGGGGCATGGGACCTTTGCAGAGTCTGTGTGTCGGGTTCCCATTGGCTGGGGCAGCTGAGAGGTCACCAGGAGCCGAGTGTAGTAGCCACCAAACACTGCCAGTAGCTGCCGGGCCATCTCCTGCAAGAGTCAGGACAGTAACATGAGCACAGCAGACAGCCCTGGGGGTGACGGGGCTCCTGCCCTACCCAGGAGGCATGCTCCAGGGGGAGAACAGCTGAGACCAGTGCCTAGGGCTCTTGGAAGATGCAGTCTGGCTAAGAACCCCCATTCTGCAACTCACTGGAGCTTCTGTGGCCCTGGCTGCTTCATCCCCAAGGAGGTCTTACTAACAAGATACACGGGTTCTTCTCGGAAGCAAATCATGCACCTAGCATGCCTGATGCCCTGGGTTCCATCCCAAGCACCACGGATGTTAGTGTGCTCCCAGAAGACCACTACCCTCAGAGCAAAGAAGAAGTATCACCCTGGCCCTACCTACGCCCTCTTTGCACTTTCTAAAGCCCATGAATCTGTACAGGCCGAGTTCAGACTGACTCACTTGGAGAAAATCACTAATGGAGCTGGATGAGTAGAAGCATCCCATGACAGGAGACCTTCGGTTCACATATGGTGCCTGGTCGGCATCCTACTACCAGATGTAATAAAGATTTGCTGATGGAAACTGAGTACCACAAAGGAACAATACTGTGCACGAAGGACACAGTGGCCCCAGGCTCTGGGGGAAGCAGAAGGGAGGTTAGTGTTGCTCGGTGTGGGATACAACACATCAGGTGTGGGGTCCAGAGAGGCTGCATTGTGCAGACAGTAATTAAAAACAGGTGCTGAGATCAAGGACAGAGGAATTCCAGCTCCTCCACTCCGCGCTCACTGCACAAGTGTCGGCCTGACTGAGGAATTGTCTTCACTGGCAATATGTGCTGTTGCTGCTGTGAGGTGGGCAAGGCCAGTTCAGTGAATATCACTGGATCATCACCAACACTGAGAGCAGAAGCCAGGCTCACCCCCGTAACCTCGGCATTCGCTCAGCCTGGCCTCGCCAATCAGCCCAAGGTCAATACTGTGAGAACCAATGCTTTCTCTTGCCCTCACCCGCCCTCGTTCTGAAAGCCAGGCCAGTCTCACTCCGCCCACCAAAGAAGGGAAGGTCATCGAGACCTCAGGGATGTGCTGACACGTTCTTTACAGAGTAAAAATCCTTAAAAATGTGAGAGACAGTTCTGATTCTTTCCATCTGTCACAGACTCTGGACTCCTGCAGACACAGGAAGTCTAGTTGTCCACTGAGACCTGAGTAGGGGTTATATTTTCCCTAGCTAACTGAGAAGCTACTTTCAAAACATGCATACAGAAACATACACACACGATATTCAGGACAGGAAATTGTGTTTCTAAGGGTTTGAGGAAATTTGAAAGAAGAACTTGAAAGGGCCATATTTCATGAGCTACTGCATGCCAACCCAGACACACAAACCCTTGAATAAGGCATGTGACTAATATGGCCATCATTTTCTCTCTTAAATAACCCTCTGGGAAGCCCCAGAATCCCACCAATGCAAAAGGGGGGGCTGGGTTGGGCTAGACCTTGATTCTCTGAATCCCAGAAAGGAAAGGAAAAGTCAAGTAATCGCCAAAGCTGAAAATGCCACCTAAGGTCATCCCCCCACTTGGGTCTGTCCTCACAATTCACATATCTACCAGGAAGGAACCAGTTCCCACACAGAACCCGAGGGCAGAACCTTGGCTACAAAGCAAAACTCTGTCTCAAAAAAGAAAGGTGTCAGAATAAACCAAAATACGTGTTGGGGTGAACAACAACAACGAAGGAATGTAAAGACATCTCTGACCTACAAGGTAAAATGGTCCATAGCAACTCAGAGAAGCTACAACCCAAGACCTAAACCTTGAGCCAGCGCTCAGATCACGACCACACACGGGCCCCAAGGGAGGCCCACACCAGCTGCTGTGGTACCATTACCTCCGGCTCAGCCTCTGGAACAAGCTGATAGAGTTCAGTTTGCATGAGTGGTCTCTCCGGAGGACCAGGAGTGCTGGGGAGCAGCGGGGCATCCTCCAAGTCCTCGGGCCCTTCCACCACAGGCATCACTCCTGTCTCCATGACAACACAGAGCTGGTTTAATTTGTTTCTCAGCACGGACTACAAAGGAAACACAGGGGACACAGGTGTGGTCTGAGTCTGGCAGGCTGTGAAGGATGGAACCAGCTAGAGAGCCAGACAGCTGATCTCAGTGAGCCACGCCAGTGAGATCACACTACTCCCCACAAAACCAGGGCCCTGGGAAGCTGCTGAAGGTCCTGGAGGGCAAACCCTATCTGAAGTCACAGGTTCTAGATAGCCAGGAGCAGGGTGCCATGGCAATCCTGACCTCAGGATACAGAGACCCCAGGAAACGGCTGATCCCAGGGAAAGGTGCCAGTCTTCTTACCTCTTGACTCCTCTTCATTTCCTGAACATGGTCAGACAAGAACTGCACACAGCTCTCCAGGTCGAAGTAGACAAACCAGAGCTGTGGAGAGAAGCAGCAGTTTATCCTTGAGCTCCCGCCCTTCACCCAGGGCCCATCCTTCTGACAACCACCTGGCCGTACGACCGCACTCATCTGTATGGCTGCAGAGGGTAAGAATGGTGGTACTGGAACTGAATCCAAGATACACTGCTAGGGGGACACACTATCACTAAGCTACATGGTCACCCCCAGCCTCCCCCAAATGGCTTTGCAACCAAATTCAGAATATGTCCAACCATGAAAAAAATGGCGAGGCCCCATCTCCCACAAGAATCCCAGGTGGACCCCAACTTCTTTGGCCTTCACATGTCCACTGGAGCAAAGGACCCTCAGGAGTATGGGTACCATTTTGTCTGAGACCCAAATACACAAAGGAGAAAAGCCCTCACAAATGACATCTTCACCAACCAGAACTAAACTCAAAGATGTTAACACAGTGTTCTTCATGAAAGGAGCGCAGGTAAGAAAGATGTCCTGGGGATACTCCCAGCCTTCCCTTCCACCTCAGCTTCAGAAGACCCTGGCCAGGACATCCTTACAAGGCCCAAAGTTTCCATATCCATTGAGATGCCTTGATGGTGCCACATTCACAATAATCAAGTTCTGCAGAAAAGTCTAACATCTGCATCCACTACCTTGCTCCCTGCTCAGGGCAACTGACCCATAAGACCAAAGTTCACAGCTCCTGACACATAGTCTCTCTCTCCAGCTCACCCCAAGGAGGATCTGTCCACATAACTTTTTAAAGTCTTTTCACTGTGAAAAAATCTCAGCTATCCACAGGAGATGGGAGTCTCTATCACCCTCCTTTAAGAATTCAACTCATGCCCACCCTGTTGAGCGCCACCTCTCTCCTTGCCCATCACATCACCCAGCACCCCCAAGGACCCTAAAAGACCTCCAGACACTGTATTATCTCACCCCAAGAGGGCACTGTCATGATGGAAGTAACCACTCTGAAAAGATGTGTCCCTTCATTAGTCACCTGGAAACCAGCAGATTCAACGACATCCCAAGGTCCCTCCCACACATCAGCTGACAGGGAAGACTGGGAAATGAATGAGGTGAGGAAGGAGCTGTAGACTTGAGAGACGCAAAAGTCCTGTTTGAACGGCCAGGTATCTTGTGCAATATCCCAGGCAAGATAACTTTAGATTGCATGCTAGCCCAGGTGTGATCAGCTCCACAAAACCAAGACTCGTGTGTCCTCAGCCCAGCTCTGCCCAGAGCACAGTGTGCAACAAACATCTGTCAGACTCACAGAAGGCACACCTCCTCGGTCCCTAGAGCACACACACTCTAGGCACCAGCTCGGCTTCCTGGCTATGGAGGCTGTGTTCCTCCCTAAGTCCTGCTCTTCAGCTGGAGACTAAGAATAAAGGATACTGCTGCTCTACAGAGGGAGGGGAGATCTTACCAGGCCTTTACATTGGACGCCCGAAAGCACTCAGCGCTGAGCAGAGGCAGGCAGGACACAGAAAGCTACCGAGCATCACACAGCTTCTCCAGCCTCGTCTCTCCTGCCACCATGTCACTTGTCTGCAGCCCTAGGCCACCATGAGAATCCACAGTCCCTTTAAAGCCACTGCGACTGTGTGCTGTCATCTTCATGGGTATGCGGGTTTATACTGGACAGGGACACTGATTCCTACAGCGCCCAACCGCAGGGTTCAGCACAGAGGAGACCTCAGGGCCACTCACAGCAGCACAGCAGACACTGGACCTCACAGTGCAGGCCAGGACAATGCAAGGCCACCTGCAAGTGGGCCACCAGGAGGGGACACTCTGAGACACAGTACCTGGATCACACTCTGGCATCCTTCCACTGTGTCTGTCACCCCGAGCAGCACCCGGTGTCTCAGAAGGGCTTCATTGGCGGCCACCAGCCTCAGGTCTGTGTTAGTGTTAGCCTAAAAGACAAGTGCCCGGCCCAAGGCTGACCTCCACGGAGGTTCCCAGGAGCTCCTCAGGCATGGACATTATAATTGTCCCTCTCCTAAAGGCCACACATCAATCCTCACGCTCAAGACAACTCCATTCTCCCCCTACAGTGAATTTGGTGTTAAAGAGCTGGAGACAAAGCCTGGCTCTGGCTTCCTGGCTGGACCGCCCATGTCCCTCCAGTGCAGCTCCCTGTCTTAGGCTGCAGATTAATAAAAGAGCACACCCCTGCCTCCTGGGAGTGAGGGGAGAGCTCACTAAGCTGTGAAGGAAGTCTCTATTACCCCAGGCTAGATGACACCCTAGTGTAGTGGTCTCTGAGGGAATGCAAGGGACACATGGTCTGTTTTGCATGGACAGAACCAACTCTATTAACAACACACCTACTTTTTTCCCTTTCTCTTTTTTGAAACAGGAACTCCAATTTAAGATCCCCTGGCCTTAGCCTCCAGCAAGCCACGGGTGAGGCGTGTTCTCCCAGGCCACGTGCTAACAGGTCCGCAGCCCTCAGAGAAGCTGTCTCCTCCAACTCCCACCAGTGAGGTGTGACAGACCCATAGCAGTGGCCTGGGGAAGAGGCCCTCCAAGTCTTTAGCAGCAACTCCTAGAGCAGCCGAAGGAAGTGCTCACAAAGAGCAGGCCCCATGGGGAACTGGACATGTGCAGGGCTTTTCCACGGCCACACAGACAGACAGCACAGGCACTCTGTAAAGAAGGGTCAGGGTGGCCAAAACATGCCTCCCACTGCAGGACTGGCCCAAGAAAAAGCTCTACATGCCCAGGGCCTGTCCTCTGACATACCTGGGCATGGAAAAACTATCATAGGCATGGAGGAGGTAGGAAATCTCTCTAGAATTCTCCAGCATGTCATCTTAACTCCCAGGCACACATGGGTTCACCAGGGGTCACAGTGCACTGGAATGCCTCCACTGTGGGT